CCCAGTGCAGGAGTCTGGGAGCTGACCTTGCCTGTGAAGACTGGGGCAAAAAAGGCATTGAGCACTTAAGCCTTTTCTATATCCTCTGGCACAAGGTTGCCTCCCCCATTCAGTAAGGGATCCACACTTTCCTTGATCCTCCTATTGCTACTGACATACTTGTAGAAAAACCCTTCTTGTTACCCTTCACATCCCTGGCTAGCTGCAACTCCAATTGTGCTTTGGTCTTCCTGACTTCATCCCTGCATGCCTGAGCAGTGCTCTTATATCCTTCCCTAGTTGTTTGTCCAAGTTACCACTTCTTATAAGCTTCCTTTTTGTGATTTAGTTTACGAAGAGTTCCCTGCTAAGCCAAGTTGGTCTTCTGCCATACTTGCTAGTCTTCCTGCACATTGGGATGGTTTGTTCCTGCACTCTCAGTAAGGCTTCTTTAAAATACAGCCAGCTCTCTTGGACCCCCTCTCCTCATCTGTCTGGCCTCCCAGGGGATCCTGCCCAGGATTTCCCTGAGTTAGTCAAAGTCTGCTTTTCTGAAGTCCAGGGTCCTTACTCTGCTGTTCTCCATCCTTCCTTTCCTCAGGATCCTGAACTCAATCAGCTTGTGGTCACTGCTTACCTCTAGATGCCCTTTTCATCCCAAGGGCAGATTGTAGTCTAGGCCTGAGGTCAGGCCACAGACACTGGCCCCTGACTGGTTCCCCATGATATAATGTTTCATTGTATTAGTCATCCCCTAGGTTAAGACTTAAGTTTTGTAACTGTTTTGTGGCAAGCTTGGCTGACTGGGCTTGTGGAGAATGAGGAGGCTCTGAGGGAGCTGAAGGAGAGAAGGTCCTAGGGTGGACAGGGAGAAAAGAAATGGCCCTAGGGAGGACAGAAAAGTCTGAATGAGGACAGGGAATTGGAATGGCACAATAAAGATTGTTTTAAAGTGGTACCTTTTGTGCTGCTTGGGACATTGGCACTCTGACCCCTCCTCTTTAAAAGAAGAAAACACTCCCTCCTTCTTGGCAGCTGACCACAAAGAAGGAGGTCCCAGAGGTGAGGTTGGTGTGAATTGCCGGGGAACCCAGGGACTGAGAAGAGCCAGGGTCTCAAAGTCCGAGGCTTACCCCTTGGGAAGACATGCTAGCACTGTCTGCAGGGGGTCCTCTCAGGAGAGGCAGACCAAATAAGGCTATGGGGAAGTCCCAAGGAAGAGCTTTGTCCTTACCATCTGAAAGGGCAGTTTGATCCTTTTTCTTTGTAACAATACCACAAATCAAAAAGGCTCTTAAATGTTCCTTCATTCTCTCCCTTACTTCCCCCACCAAAAAAAAAGTAGAATTAGAAAAGTTACTGAGAGAGGCCAAAAGTGATCAGGAATATGGAACGCCTTCCATATGTGGAGAGACTGGAAAGACTAGGACACTTCAGCTTGGAATGGTGACTGTTGCGTGGGGGGAGGTGGATGTTGAGAAACGTCTACAAAAGTATGACTAGTGCGGAGAAAGCGAATAGGGAACTCCTGTCTACTATATAATATAATTCAAGAGATGGACTAGAAAATGAAATTACGAAACATTAGGCTTAGGAAAAAAGGGAAGTATTTTTATTTATTTTCCACATACATAATTAATAGATAGAACTCATTACCACAGGGCATTGTGAAGGCCAGTAATATAACTGGGTTCAAAAGCCAGTAGTACAACTGGGCAGTGGTCAGGTATCCGCATGGAGTCTGGGAGCAGAGGTCTGCCATCAGTGTGTTATCCAAGGACTTTGATAATTAATTAAATCAAAGTCTCCAATTGAAGGGGTGGGTGGAGTTGTCTCCCTCAGGCAGTGGCTGGACAGGCATCTGGCTGCGGTCATCTGACCCCAGCACACTTTCCTGCCATGGCAGGGGGTCAGACTTGATGATCTGTTTGGGTCCCTTCTGACCCTAGCATCTGTGAATCTATGAATTTGGTGATCTACCACAACGTCACCCTGGGGTGATTGGAATGAATTTGCATAAATGAATGACTCAGATTTAGATTGAACTGAAACAAATTTAACCGTTTATTCAACAACAATTAGCTAACTATAAAGGACCACAATAACAAGCTAAGTACTATGTACTAAAATACTATATACATGATCAAGCTAATAAATCACCATATACAAAACTATTTACAGATGCAGGGTCAGGGTCTGAGAACCACAATTATGACTGACAAGATGAACAAGAACACGTGTAAGTACAACTGACACAAAGATAGCAAGGTTTACAGTTCTGCACACATACATCAGTACATCCATGGTCCCACGCCCCTGGGACTGGGTAATACGTACCAAAGGGCTGACAGCTACTCAGATCAGATAGGACAATGCCTGAGAGCCAGCTGGCTACAGCATCTTATCAGCAGATCGAGAGAGAGTTCAAAGATGGTCACTTGACTGATGGTCACTTTTCCGCATACCTCACAGGTATGACTTAACACTGTGGAAGGCTGACAGCCTGACTGGCCAGGTCAGATGCAGGCTCTTCACACAGCGTCTCAGTCCACTCAGCAACTCTCAACAGCCACACTAACACCGCAACTATCAGCCACCTTACACATCCCGCTCCAAATGCCTCACGCTTCTCCTCACGCTTTCTTCATTTATAGATTCCCACTAGACGGTTCCAGCCACTTGGCACCTGCTCCTCCCCCCCGCCACTTCCGGCAGCTTCTTCAGGGCAGGGGGCCCCAAAACTATTTTTTGCAGGGGGCTGTGGCAGTGCCACTTTGGGGGCCTGCCC